TTGCTGTTGCGGGTGTTGTTGTAGGCCGCTTGTTGGCCAAGCTGCAGCAACAGCCGCTGCACTGAAATTGCATGTCAAAGACAGATTTACGAGCCAACCTCAACACAGACACATAGAAGCACTCTCATGCACAGACACACACACATAAGTGCCGGCAAAAGGACTCAGTCTCCGTGTGGGTTGGCATTTTATTTATGATAAGGACTTTGGGGTCATTTGGGTTGGAAAAAGTTTGTGCGACTGCCGGCCGGGGAGGGCAAATGAAGCAAAATAAGGTGCAGCCGCACCGGGAAAGGATCTGAGAGATAGGCGCAAGAAGGTAGAGCAGACGAGATAATGAATAATGGTTTAATTAGGCTTCACTCCACCAAATACGTAATTAATTGAAGCTCTGGCTCCGCCGCAAACCTCCATTCTAGATAATAAACTAGGCATGTCTGTGACCTGTTTCCGGGAAATCCAAAACCCTATTCGAAAAAAAAACTGAAACAGAATGCCTCCATAATAGTGTCGGCTTTGGCTGTTTGCCAACAGAAGCCCGCTGGGCTTTAAAGGACCTAATAATTACGAATTTAATTCCAACCAAAATCTGGTTTGAAGCGACTATTAAATTTCAGAGAAAATACGTGCAGGCAATAGTCTTGGGAAATACTCGCTTGCAAGCAACTGTGGCGTCCAAACATGGCCCCCATCGTCCTGCCGAAACTTCAACGAAAATATACAAAAATGCACGTACACACAACCAGTGAGGAGAGAACGTGGCCAGCAAGTTACAAATGTTTATGACAAACCAAACATCATAATAACGTGTAACAAGCAGTGCAGGCAACTGGCCTTATTTGCCAGTCCCACCCGCTTCCACTCCCCTTTAGAACATCCTGAAAATCCACTTCCATGAAAGAGCATAAAAATATTTCTGTTAGCATCCGGCTGCTGTTCCCTCCTTATCCCCGCTTGTCAATTAAATGTCAACTGGCATAAATGTTGCATGCCTCTGCCATATTAAAATTCCGCAGAGAAGCAGGATAAAATAATGCAAAAAAAAAGTAATAGAATGTCCTTTAAGAGCAGACGCAAGAGAGGTGCTTGCTCTTTGTTCAGTGGCTCTCAAACTGTGGTCTCCATTTTTTTAATTCACCACAGCCTGAGGATATGCAATGTTTTTTTTATTGTCACACAAACTTCTCTCTTTCTCTCTCTCTTTTCTCACTTTGTATTTGTGTTTGTTTTTGTTTTGAACAAAAGTCCTTTGTCTTTGGACCTGCGAGTGTGTGGGTGTGACATTGTTTTCGGGGCAGACAGTTTAAAGAGGAGTTTTTTGGACTGGAGCCGGCTTCCGAGGTTCACGGCCCCGTTATGCAAATGTTGACAGTCCCCGTAACCACATTGGCGCCCTCCTGGACCCTCTAGGCCTTCCGCTTACACTCCTCCTGGAAATCAACATTCCTCTGACTGAGTTAGCAATTTTAAGTGGCCATCCGCTGGTGTCTGTTGCTGTTTTCACTCCGAAAACTCATATGTCTCGCTTACACTCATTTGCACTTTTCCACCGAGCCACCGAGCCCCTTAACCCCTTTTGTATGCATTTTGTCTCGCCCGGCGGAAATTTGTTTGCTCTGAAGTGATTTTAGTGGGGAGGTCCTGGGGAAAGGAAATGGAACCGTGTTTCATTGCCATCAGCAATTTGCAATTCTGCAATCCCTTGCCGGCAAAAAGACATGACTGCTAAACGGGGCCTAATGAAATTACCATACGTTCTCCAATTTCAGCCAATTTTGTTCAAAAATTAATTGAGCATCGAAAAATCTGTTACTGTCAATTAAATGATATAAACTATTGAATAGGGAGCTCTCAAATAATGAAATAATATCTATAAAATATACCTTAATATACTTTATCCTTTTTCTTAAACAAAACTTAAAACTTAAACCATTTAATTCATATAGAACCTCTTTTGCCTCAAGGCCCTCAAATCTTACAGGACACTTCTTATAGTCCCTATCCCACTCTGAAAACCCAAAGAACCAATATCATTTTTCTGGACTCACCTTTCTCTTGCAGTTGCTGACGTTTGACGTCGCTTTTGAGGACTTCCGCCGTGTGCACCAGTTCGTTGAGTTGTGGCTTTTTCATTTTCAATTCTCGCAGGACTTTCTGTTGAAAGAAACGGGAGAATACATATGTGAGTGAATAAAGTGGGTGTCCTTTTATGCAACAAACCTCCTGCTTCTCAATGGCCAGCCGCACGGCATCGACATCGTCCACGAGGACACTCTGTATCTTGATCATGTTTTGTTCCCAAGTCAGCCAGTCGGAAATCTGCAGGACCGACTTATCGAAGCTGCCGGCCAACTCTCCAGTGCCACTCGGCTCGTTATTGTAGTCTGGAAAAAAAATGGGACAAATTGAAATGGGGGGTTTAAAAAAATAACAAAAAACAAAGAAACGGAAGAGAAAATGCCTCACTAATGGCAAAACATCTTGCTAATTAGCGTGTCCTTTTCCCTTGACTTTAGAATGGTGACACTCTGGCTTCTAATGATGGGTTTCTCATTAAACTGCCACCATCTGCGGTTTAGACCTTTTCCCCAACTGACCACACAGACCGGTGGCATACTAAACGGGGCCACTGTTACTGTCTATTCAATTGGAGTCCTATTTTCTCCGTTTTGGTTTTCTAGCGCTCCCACTCGGACTTTGTTGCACATTTCAGAAAAATGCAAGTAAATGAAAAACTATTTCAATGAAGCAAAAGTTTCGAGAGTCTTGAGTGATGTACGAACAGTGGGATGGGATTAGTTGGAAAGGGAATTAAATTTTCAATAAAATATGCTTATTATAATTACCATAAAATGTCTTTCCCCGCCTTTTCTTCTAATAAACCCAATCGCAGCTCAAAAAGTCTTCAAACTTTTTGAATGAAAACCAGATCAATGACGTCTAATAACATTGAAACGTGTCTGTTGAGTAAAGTTTGTAAAAATATTATTTTTACCCTTCTACTGTAGCTGTATCTGCTTTTCTTTGGAGATTTTTTCCTTTTACGCTTTACTTCCTTTTATTAAATAGCAATTTTCAATTGCCACTCTGCCAGGACAGGCCATGGTGCAAATATTTCAGAACTTCAGAAAGCAAAATGGAAACTCTTGAGATACTTGAGTGAAACGAGTGGAAAGGAGAGTCGAAAGAATCGCTTAAGTAGGCGCAGAGCAAAAGAATTGAAAGGAGAGCCGTAAAAAGGATAAAGGGCGCAGGTGGGCGGAGTTGGTCCTGCCGTCCTTTGACAGTTATGAAAGTTTCTTCGACCTGAGTTTGCCAATAATCCGTGAAAACAAAACCAAAACAAAAACTAAAACCGAAAAACGGAGGGGCGCGTTGGCTTTTTCCTCGGCGCTGTTTTGGTTTCTAGTTTTCGCAGTGTCCCTCGCAGGATTAGGCTGGTCGGCCGGCAAGGACAAGGGATTTGGCGACAAATACCGGGCCCAAGGCGGGGCTTGCCCCGCCACTGGACTTAGGACCCAGGACTCGGGACACAGGTCGTGTCAAGTTGAGGCGTCTGAAAGCATTTAGACTGAGTGAGCGACAGAATGAATGAGATTCCTGGCACACAAGAAGCTGCTTAGCAAATATATACACAGAGGGAAAATAAGTAAAGATCCTAAGCATTGTTTTACCAAAGATTTTAAAACTAAATAAAAAATTAAGGATGTGGATGAGAAACCATGTTTTGCTTTCAATAATAGCTACTTAGGTATGGAATTTCTTACAGTGACCTCAAGCCCATTGAATTTATCGACATCATAAATATTATGCAGATTTAAAAGGACTTTCAGTGGCTTTAAAATATTACTTTTTTCTGTGGATTGAAGTCCCCTAGAAGGGGAATGGAAAAAGGAAAACCAGAAAGGAATAATAACATTGCTGACAACCAAACACACACACTTGAAGTACCAGTGGAAACACGTTAAGTGTAAAATTTCTTTTCACTCATTCTGATGAATGTTCGAGGTAGGCGCGACACACACCCTTTGCCAGGTGCTTTGTGTTGTGGCATTCACGGAACAGGTGCAAAATGGTGGAAAATATCATATAAAATAAAAAAAATATATATAAAACACTCTGAAAAGGAAAAGCACTGATAAGAGCCCCTCCACTTTCCTTCGCTTTGCCCGCCCACTCCTTCCATCAAAACCGAACTGACTCTACCAGGAAAATGTCATAATTCATTAAAAGCCAAAGAAAGCGTGAAATTTTGGAAACCTACATCCCCAGCCCCCCTTTCAGATGTCACTCTCTAACGTTTTCTTCCGCTTTCATTTTGGGGAAAGTCCAACAAGGACTTTAAGACAAACTCGGTGACATCCTTGCGGAAAAGAAAGTGCTGTTTAAGTTTTAATTTAAGGTGATGGATGACCTTAAGGGGATTTGTTTCTTGATTTATATTTAAAGCTTCTATAATGAATGGTTTTATTTTTTTTGGTTACCTAAAATAACTCCGAAATCATAGATCCTATATTATAATATATTTTAAAAACACAATTTTACTTTCAAAAAATAATTAAAGACAGAACATCGGTCAACTTTCACACTTGTAATATTGAATTGATTTTGATTTTTAAGGTGTATTTTTTTAAAAAACATTTCCGTTTATTTAAATTCTTAAATAACTAAATCACAACTAGACTTTTTTACTTCCTTGCCGCTCAACGATTTATTTTGAAATGTTTCCGTGTTTGTTGGAAACAGCTGTTGAAAATTGCAGAATCAAAAAGAAAAGCTCAGGACAATCACGTAAAAAAGCTTCAAAAAGCTTAAGCTCAGGATAACAGAGTCAAGTCAGAATCCTTCGGAAAATGTTTTAGCTAATGTCGACACCAGAAACTTCAAGTTATGGGTTTTAAAATTTATGTATTAATTGTCAACCGTAGCTCTATAAAAACTGACATTTTTGTCAAGATACTCCAATGAAAAGTTAAAAAAAAAACTAATACCAAAAACACACAATTAAAACAAAACATTAAACAAACTTACACCTTAAACACAAATAGTACCACCAACACAAAATGAGCAAAATAGAGTCCAACATGAAAAAACTTCGTCCTACGATAACCAAACAAAGAAGTAACTTCGAGGGATTCACGTTTAGAAAATATCGAAAGGCTAAATTCCTTCCCATTGATAAAGTACCAATAGCTTCCCGGGATTATGGGCTGATGAAGACTAACAACAAGTCCTCAACTCCTTATCCACGAGTCGATCATGGTGTGGATGCATCGGTTCTGAGGGCTCGGCTCTCCATGCGTCGGCAATTGGATACCAAGCGACACGTTGAAAAAGAAGACACTCCCGATCAGGATCATGAGGCCAGCATAGAGGGATCCACAAGCAAAATACATCGCGGCGAAGACCCACATCTGCGTAGAACAAAGTCCGTAATCGTGACCCGCCCTCCGGATCATATCCAGCATGAGTTGTCGCTCGGAACACCGCATCCCAAAAAAGGTATAGCCCTGAATGCCAAGACCCTGACCAGGCGCCTAGAATCCATCAACAAAGTCGAGAACACACAAAGTCCAACAACTAAGTGTCCAGGAACTCCACGATCTTCGGTTAGGAAAAAGGGGGTCAGGGTTGTAGAACCGGAACACTACATGTTAGAACCGAAAACGCCTCTAACTGGATCGATAATTAGCCACAAAAGTAGCCGCTCCTTCCCGGTGGAATATAGCCTATCGGAGAGCCTGCTCGTGAGCTTGGACTCTTCGGAGGGTATAAGTTTCGCAGAGAAGCGAAAGCGGTTCCACCTAGGAGAGTTCACCATCACCAAAGGTCGCAAGATAAGCGACGTAATGATGGCCGCCTGCTCGGATCATGACCATATCAACATCACCGACAAGAGCTTCGACTACGCCAACAAAGCTAAGCAGGAGATCGAGAACTACATCCAGAAGCAAGGGCTGATCAAGACCACCAACGATCAGCTGACCATGACCAGGACCATGGACAGGACTTCACGGTACAGCACCGGCAGTATCAAAGTGAGTGGATCTATACGAGACCATTCATCAGATGAAAGCCACAAAAGTATCCGTCATGGACGAAGGCATAGGAGTGTAGAGATCACACACTAGCGCGACTGGCGGAAAAATACTTATGTCGGTATATATATACAAATATATATCTTTTTCCGGCATTCTAGCTAGTCCTGGGTCTCACACACATTCTACAAAATATCTTGTAACTCATATTGTCAAAAATTATGGTCAACTTTGAGAAGTCAATGAAACTTAAGGATTCAATTAAATAAAAACTGTTTTATATAAATCCTAAGGGTATTTTTATTACCTTTTTCATAATAATAGGTTAGATATGCTCAGAATAGAGATTCACTAAAAAACCATATCAATTTCCGTTTGGAATTCAACCTACACTTTGCGTATCTGGCACTCGAAATATTTATCAACATATGCTTGCATCTGTTTTAAAAACAGGAACACGAGACAGCAACAAATGGGGGAGACCCCATAGTGTAAGTCAACACCGTAAACATTGCCATAAAATGTCAAAAGTGCCACTGACATGGCACATTTGGTTGCTGGCTGCCCTTTTTCCAATAAAAACATAAACAACCAAGCGGAAAAAGTCGACATAGAAACCAAATACAAAGACTTGAACTTTTAAAGCTAATTAGTAAATTTATGAAAATTAATTCCAACAATCATCAGCAAAGCGAAATTAAACCTACATCCACAGTACTTGTACGTGATTTTTTCAAGATTTGGCTTTTTCCGCAAAACAAAAGATTATCAAAGTGACCTAAATAGAAACATATTTATGTTGAACTAAAAAAATGTAATGAGAACACATAAACTAAAAATCATAAAAAACAGGCTATTAAAGAAAAATAATGAGTATTTAAATTTTAATTAGATTTTCAATGAAATACTTTTTTATGAAAGAACATAGTTTTTCAAAGAACATTTAGTCAGAAGAGCCCTTTAATTATGCAAAACTAAGGCTAAGCTATTCAGAATTCAATAATTGACTTTTCCAAGCAAAAACACATTGAAAATGTGCTTATCCCAAGAAGAGGCACTCGACCAAGTCAACTTGTCTACATTTAAGCAGTCGTTTCAAGCGTAAACCAAACAATTGAAGACAATCCAAGCTGCCGGCAATCAACAGCTTCAATGTTCATAGTGTCCTAGGTTTAGATGCGAACCCCTTAAAGCTCCCGAAATAAAAACTATTAGAAACACTCAAGGGGCCAACTTACCCGAACGACAGCTGATGGCGGCGCCACCGGAAGATGCATTGGCCCGCTCCTTGCCGTTGGAAATTCGGGTGCCATTTCTCAGCTCCGTCAACGAGAGCTCAATGGAATCCGCATGAGCAATCAAATTGTTTTTGGTCTGTAAGAGGGCAAAGGAATTTAAGGAGCTGTTGAACAGGAATGGGAATCGAATGGCAGAATGTGAAGGCAAACCTTTTCAATTTCGTTCATCATGAGGGGCGTGACCTTCGGCATCTGGGCGTTCTTGCCAATGGCGCTAACAATCACCTGCAAATCGTCGTGACGCTCCTGCAACAAGAAAATAATATAAGAATTTTTGGCTCAATAGTAGTTCTGTCGTATGACAAATTTAAGATGCTTTAGTTCTTTGAAATAAAAATAAAATAAAGCAGATTTGGTTGAATACTTAATACTCTTAACTTAATTATTTATAAATGGCCCATTAAATTAAATTTTGAATTAATGAAAGAAGTGGGTAAACTCATAGGGCATAAATATTATAAAACTACCTCTTTAAGTATAAAATAAGGAGGAAACCAAACAGTATATCTATTTTTCTTAAGGTCCAGAACATAAACAATAAATATCAGTCCCAAAGCGGAAGCGGAAGCTGAACAATCACATACTGCAACTTATAAAATGGCCGACACTTGGGAAGGAAATGGCCGACGGCGATTCGAATTCAATTTCTACTGCAATCATGCAGGGACCTTCTCCGGGAATAACAACTGGGGAGTGGGCGGGTGATATGGTGATGCTCGGTGGTCGTGGCAGGGGGTCACCTCTCTGACGGCGTTTGTCAACCAACAAAATTGCATTGGGGGGACCTTGATGCTCTGCTATGCACACTTTTGCAATTCACTATCCGGTTTCTGCTTTCGCGCCAAAAAGAATTTCCCGCAAATTTACAATCAATCACCGAGCCGGAAAAAATGTTTTTTAAATCAAAATATAGAAAAATGTAAACACCCTACGACCGCTATTCGTAAAAGACGACCTGCGACTGAATGGGAGAAAACAAAAAGTTTATAAAAATAAAAACAAAATTTCAGATTTTGCCGGCAAAGAGAAGAATTTACATGTTGGGGCCCCCTCTTCAAAATAGGTTTCCCCAACATATGCACTCTTCTGTTTTTCATTCTCCTCTCGGAAAACACAAAATTTCTTTTCTATTTCCAATGTTATTTTTTCGCTTTTCACGAATCGTTGGCGTTTGTCGCCATGCTCGCTGGTGCCATAAAATAAACCAAAAACAAAATGAATAAATAAAAATAAACAACAAATGATTGCAGTGATTAATGACTCTGATGTCTAGGGATGGAACTTGTTGAAACTTTTAAATTTATCATATGTATGTGGAGCAGCCGGCGGCGGAGAAAGTTTTTTTGCAAGCAAAGTGTCAACTGCGAAATTGCAAGCTCAGGCAATTCATCAAAAATTAGGTTTGAAAACATTTTAAAATAAGGATTTCTAAATTTGAGAATTTTAAGTATTTTTGATAACAAAACACTAAAAAATCAAAAACATTACTTTTTATTAACGACCCTATTTATAAAAGTTTTCATGCTTCAATCCATCAACAAAATTTGTAAAAATATTTGAAAAAGTTTCATAGAACATGACAAGCTACAGAATTTTATCCACCCCTTCTATAAAATCTTCTGAGGATCTCTTAACATCTCTCTTTCTCCGACGAACAATCTCTTCTGACCCACTAAAGACACACTCTTCGCCTCCCAACTGCACACAGATGTGTAACTGTGTCAGATGGGTTTATTTTTGGGACTTCTAATGGACCCATTTAGCTACTGTGGCCACTGCATATACATCTATGCAGCCAAATTCTCAAGAGGGCAATTAACTTGGGGAAAAAGAAAAACGGATGAATATCGCCGATTGACGTGACGCCTCAAAGAAATGTCCAAGTGAATGACTAATGGCAACAATTAAATAAAATGATTTGATTGTGGTTTAGCATAGCTCATTTAAATTTGATTTTCGGCCACGGCCAGATGTTTTCACTTTGAACCTGGCCAGGTGCCAAATTCGGGCCCCACTTACATTGATATCCTCCATCCGCTTCTCGAGATCGGTGCTGGACTTCAGATCGACGGGTTTCTCGATGAGAACATTAATTCGCCGTAGTCCCTTGGTGACCAGTTCCTCTATGTTGACGCTGTCCAAGGGAGGAGCTGGAGCTCCACTTCCCGAAGTCTTTGATCTACGAAAATAAAGCCATAAATTAGTTGTCACCTTTGTGGCTTCTGAGGATTCTTACTTGGCCTGTTGAACTTCGCGGAACTGTTCTCGTAGTATGATTTGTGTCCGCATCACCAGACGAGATATGCTGCCCTGCTTCCCATGGGTTTCCAGTACCAGAGAGTCGCCCTGGGATATCAAAGTGGCCGCATCCGGAGCTATCAGCAATCGCAAATCGTCTCTATGGGAAAAAGGATGTCATTTATAAAGATACTTGTAAGTACTTTATCTAAACTTACGCCTCGCTTTCATGGCACTGTTCGATCTTGGCCTTCGTGAGTTTCAGTTTATAGATCATTTGTTTGGCCTGCTTGTCAAACTCCCGGACCCGGTCATCTAGGCTCCTGGGTCCCACTTCACTGAGAGGGCTCTTGAGGGTAACATTCGAATCATCAGTTGGCGAAGGCATCGAGTTGAGGACTTTGCTCAAAAATGAGTCTGGCTTCTTGGCCGAAGGCGTCTCTATACGGCTCTATTTTGGAATAGTTAAAAAAGCGTATTTCAGTTTAAAAAAAACATTTCAATACACATTTAAAAGAAGGAAATCATTTAAAAATTTTCAACCAAATTACCGTATCACTATCGGAGTCTATGGTTGGTGTCATTTCCATGGAAAAACGAGGGATATCCTCGTCGTCGGAGAAAACGAGAGGCTCAACATCGAAGCCGGACTCTTTGTCCGGACTATAGAAACTATCGCGACCAGGAGACTCCGGGTCCAGGGCCTCTAGCTCCGGCTGCAACTGCCGCCAACGCTTCGGCTTGGAGACCTGCGTTTCCCGGGGAGTATCCGGCGTCTTGGGATCGTCCTCTTCGGAGTCCCGCAGTATATCCCGCTCATTGGCTATCCGCTTGCGTTTCTCATCGAAGGAGATGCGGTGTTTTTCCACTCGCAGGAATGGAGTACTGGTATTGTTTGCCCCCGGTCGGAGAAGATCCTCCTCCTGCTCCTCATCCTCGTCCGAGACCTTGGGCAGTGGAGAATCGTTCAACGAATGCTTGCTCTTTGAGCGTCGGACTTCCTTGCCCTCGGAATCGACTCTCAGCGAAGAATCCGAGTCCTCGGAGAGATCCACAATTTGCACGGTCTCCACATATTCGGGGACGAAGGGCTCCACACTCTCCAGAATGTTTACGGTGTCCACGATTTCCCCTTGATGTGGCTCCAAGGCGATATTTTGGACCGACATCTTGTCGTTTTGGATGTTTTTCACCTTGATCTCTACAACTTGGGCTGGTGTACTGGGGGCCTTTCGTTTGGTCTTGGCCGGTTTCGGCGGCGGAGTCTTAGAGACTTTGGCGGGATTGAGCGATATCTGGGAGAAGAGCGTACTGGACTCGGCCAGGCGGAAAGTTTGAGGCGGCAGGACATCGGGCATCACTGGGTCGCCAACCGGTACGACGGGGCTCTCCGCTGGCTTAGTCGGCGACTCGGAGTGACTAGTGTTGGCGGACTCTCCAGACTGGGGTGTCCTTGCTCGACGTTGTCGCACAGTATCGCTGACAACAACTATTTCCGTATCGTCATCATCTCCGATTAGAGACTTTTGAGGAGAGTTGGAATTTCGAGTGGCAAGTGTTGTGGCTTCATTGAATCGCGTTTTCAGCACATCCTGCGCAATAGTGCGAAACACGTTAGAATACTCTACAAACTCTCCAAATAAATGCATTGCAAATAGCC